ATTTGGGGTCTCAGGGGGATTTGGGGGGGGATTTGGGGTCTCAGGGGGATTTGGGGAGGGGTTTGGGGGGTCTCAGGGGGATTTGGGGAGGGGTTTGGGGGTTCGTGGGCAGGGTCTGAGGGGAATTTGGGGGTCCTGACCCTCCCCTCCCCCCCCAGCAGGCGCCCCCCGAGGGGATGCCGAGAGCCCCCCAAAATGGCTGACAAGAGGAAGCTGCAAGGTGAGGGGGCACCTGTGGGGCGGGGCCGCCTCTGATTGGCTGGGACTGAGTGGGTGGGGCTGGGTGTGGGCAGAGAGAGGCCCTGATTGGCTGCGGAGCTCAGGGTGTGGCCCACGGCTGGCTCTGATTGGCTGTGGAGTTTGGGGTGTGGCCCACGGGTGGCTCTGATTGGCTGCAGAGCTCGGGGTGTGGCCCACGGCTGGCTCTGATTGGCTGCAGAGCTCAGGGTGTGGTCCACAGCTGGCTCTGATTGGCTGTGGAGCTCAGGGTGTGGCCCACAGGCAGCTCTGATTGGCTGCGAAGCTCAGGGTGTGGCCCACGGCTGGCTCTGATTGGCTGCGGAGCTCAGGGTGTGGCCCACGGGTGCCTCTGATTGGTTGTAACCCTGTGGGCGGGGCCTCCCCGCCTTGCCCCGCCCCCAGGTGAGATTGACAGGTGCCTCAAGAAGGTCTCGGAGGGCGTGGAGCAGTTTGAGGACATCTGGCAGAAGGTGAGGGGGGAACACCCCAAAATCCCCACAAAACATCCCAAAATCCCTCAAAATCTCCCCAAAAAATCCCCAAATCCCCACAAACCCCCCCCCAAATTCCCCTAAACTCCCCCCAAATCCCCACAACATCCCTTAAAATCCTACAAAAATCTCCCCAGATGTCCCAAAATCCACCGAAATCTCCCTAAAATCCCCAAAATTCCCCCCAAAATCCCCCCAAATCCCTCAAAATCTCCCTAATTCTCCCAAAATCCACCAAAATTCCTCCTAAATCCCCCAAATCCATCCAAAATCTCCCAAAATCCACCAAAAATATCCCAAAATCCAACCAAATCCACCAAAATTCCCCCTAAACCCCCAAATCCTTCCAAAATCCCCCAAAATTCTCCTGAAATCCCCCAAATCCATCCAAAATCCCCCAAAAATCTCCCAAAACTCAACAAAATCTACCAAAATTCCCCCCAAATCCCCCAAAACTCCCCCAAATCCATCCAAAATCTCCCAAAATCCACCAAATCCATCCAAAATCTCCAAAATCCCACGAAATCCACCAAAATTCCCCCAAATCCATCCAAAATCCACCAAAATTCCCCATAAATCCATCCAAAATTCCCCCCAAATCTCCCCAAATCCCCCCAAAAATCTCCAAAATCCACCAAAATTCCCCCTAA